CACCCTTCACGCTGCGGTACAAGCACCCTCCACGCCGCGCGCCTAGCTCCATGCCGTGGCACCATGCTAGTCTGTATATATGAGATCGGGACCTCGATCAGAGCAGATCTATCTCACCTCCTGGACAGAAAACCTAGCCGCCGACGTTCTTAAACTTATTTTCTTCATATTTTTTCATCTGAGAATACAAAATTGAATTTGGATTTCTTCATTGCTTTCGGATCAATCTTGTATTTCGGATTCAACTTTCAATTTCGTTGTAATCGTAAGTTTCTATTCATTTAATCCATGAATATGATTGCTTTGATTGTTGTGATTGATCTTGTTGAATCTAATATGCGTAGCTAATTCGATCTGCTAGGGATAGGGGATAATGTTTTGATTTCGTTTGTGATTATCGTGCTTGTCGATTGTTCAATTTATGCGAGTTGATCTTTACTAGGGTTTTCAATTTTCTTGCTTGAATGTTGAGAATTGTTGAAGGATGACACTTCAATCTCCAATTGATTTCGATTCTTTCTCGTGTGATTTTGTTGATCTCATTAATTTGTTAATTAAACATCGTCTAGTCTAATTTAATCGACTCTTAGAATCGAAAAGGGAGGAGTTGATCGATCTAGGCTTGCATAAAATAGGCTTGTTTGTAACTGTATTGCCTATGTGTTAACGACTCGTTGATTTGCCATTCACGTTTATTCTCTTTTACAAAAAGTTATTGAGAATAAATCTCTGAACGTGTGGATTCTTCGAATCCTTTAATCGAATGATCATTTGCCCAATAATTGCATTTCGAACCAAAACAAATATCCCTGATTCCTTAGCTTTTTTATTCTCAATTTATTCATTTTCTTTGCTTTTAAATTTCAATTTGCTTTGTTTGAGTTTTCGTAGTTAATAATAAATAAACTAACGATCTTGATTAGAGTGTTTAGGATTTATTTGTTTCTTTTTATGATTGAATAATCGTGCAAAGTAATCCGGCTAACCTTCGACCCGGGGAACGAATCCTTTGATTCGGTACTCGGTAAATAACATAATTTGCTACGACATGTCCCTCCCCCCATGATCCGTCCATACAACGCAGTACGTGCTTAGGAGTCTAGGCTCTACAAGGTTGAGCATGCTGATACTGGTGCAGAAGATAACTTGCACCAGTTCCCGATGTTGGGGTGCGCCGACTTGGCTATATTCACCACCACCACACAAGATCTAGAGGAGGACCACGAGGAGTACTCGGTGTGGTACGCTCAGTTTCTCATCCTATTATCTTGGGTGATAGTCTGCCAGACAAGCATGGGGTCCCTACGCGCACCAATAAACCGATTATGTAAGTCGTTTCCTGAATTTTAGTAAATGTTCTTTCATTAGAATATTTCTTAATATATATATAAATTTTTTTAAATATATATATATATATATACATATATGATCATATTTTTAATTCTCCTTTTTGTGTAGTGGGGCAATCGTTTCTTCTCCGTTACATCAGACATGCTGCGGGAATTCATGAGGCTTGATTCCGATGTAGAGGCGCGCTTTGTTGATAAAAATTGGTTGAAATTAAGTTGGATTGGGACAGAGCAGCCCAATGATGTAATGAATGTTGTTTTTTAATTTCATTGTTAAACATTCATTAGTTTTTTTTATTTATTATACAATAATCTCATTTCGATGGTCAACGCTTGGTTGAATTGTTTTGTTTTATTTTATTTCTTGTTAATTCATTTTATTTTCATCAATTTCCAAATGCTATACTACATTCCAACCAAAACATTCCATGACAATCGACGTATACGTACTCGATCTCAACTCAATCACAAACATGCATAACAATCAATGTCTAAGTACTCGAGTGACTCTACATGACTCGTGTCACAAATACACATGAGTCGTGTCAAAATGCCGTAACAAAATTCTTAATTTACCTTTCCAACACGACTCGTGTCAGTGAAATCACACGAGTCGTGTGAGTCCACATTAGTCGTGTTACAGCACACGACTTGTGTCTTAGAGCCACACAAGTCGTGTCAAAATGTCGTAACAAATGTCTTCATTTACCTTTCCAACACGACTCATGTCAGTGGAATCACACTAGTCGGGTGACTAGTCGTGTGACAGCACACGACTCGTGTCTCAGTGCTACACGAGTCGTGTCAAGATGCCGTAACACAAGTCTTCATTTACCTTTCTAACACGACTCGTGTAAGTGAAATCACACGAGTCGTTTGACTTCACACAAGTTTTTGTGATTAGTCGCATGTGACAGCACATGTTTCGTGTCTCAGTGCCATACGAGTTGTGTCAAAATGCCTTAACAAAAGTCTTAATTTACCTTGTCAAAATGCAGCGGGATTGTGCGAGTGTTGATCCTGATATGGCGATGCTTTATGCAAAAATATTGGCTCAAATTAAATTTGATTTCGACATAGCGCAGTAATGATGTAATGAATGTTGATTTTTCATTTTATTATTAAACATTCATGAGATTTCCTGGTGCATTACGAATATTATGTCATAACAATAAACGTATAAACACGGCCGAATAGCATAATATATCAACATCCATTACGAATATCATTCTACAACTAGAACTTGTTTTGGTAGTAAACATCCCAACCTTCAAACATCACATTTCGATATCTAGACCACAAAAAATAAATAGGCGGTAATGGAAAATTAGGAGACAGATTCAGACGAATGTAGTATGCATAAGGAAACAGTGTAGCAATAGAAAAGAGGTCGGTTACAACTTCCATCCAGTGCTCGTTGTCACAAGAGCCCCCCTCCCATCTTATTAGCCTGAGTGCTTTGTCGACCTCACTATAACATAAAGAGTTGTACAAGGCACTGAAAAATTGAACCTCATTTGCAATGTTGGCTCTTACCAATGGCCACATCTGTTGGTCATTATACATGTAGCTCGCAATCACCCGAAATTCGCGGTTGCCATCAACATTTACATCCAGGTAACTCTCTATGTAGTCAAGAACTACGAAGGGAATTTTTCACCAATGTGCAAAATCATAGATATTTGTTGGCATGATCTCTGTAATATCATAATAAATTTACGTCACAAAATTTATATAAATAATTTAGTTAACATTCAGATAAAACAAAAAAACAATTTACCTATCGGATCTTGTGAAGGGAAAGAAGACGAGCTCTCCACCGGACGACTTCCGCCCCTGTACTCCCATTTCGATGGTCGACGCTTGGTTGAATTGCTTTTTTTTTTTTCTACCTCTCGTATTTTCCTTAACTGCAGGTTCTATAACCTTGTTGGTCACGTATTTTCCTTCACCTCAAGTTCTTGTTGCACGTTTTTATCCCAATAATTTTCACCAACGGCATCTTTGTACCTGTGCAAATGAAAGCAACAAAAGGAAACATAGAATCAAAATACTTACTCAAACATACTAATTAAATTTCATACTAATTTATTATTTATAAGGTAACATACATGTTGGTTTTGTACGTCGAATCTATACCGACGTACCAGTAATATGTCCGGAATAGCTAGCTGCTACAGGATGCGACATGAACATATGTGTCAACGCCCGTGTGTCCGGATCAACATCAGTATAAACTATATACTTGCTATCTGTAACCAAATGCAGAATCTGGGTAGTCACATCTCTACCCTCGAAACTATCTCTCCGCAATTTAACTCTATAGTTATACACATGTCGCCGAGTAGCGTTGTCTATCGGGTTGTTATCCTGGATCGCAACCAAGATTCTGTCATTTTGCCTGAATAGCAGTCATATCACGGACAATCTCATTAGATGAAGCGCTAAGTCCGCTCATCTATCGATGACCCTCAGGATACACAGCCATTGCATGATTATGCATTCCCTTCTTACCGTCAGAACTTACACGAATCCTCCAATATGTAGATTCTGCCACTAGTTTGGATGCTATCTCAAAAAGACATTTGCTCTCTTTAGTTTTCGAACATCTGGTAGCAGCCTTATCTAAATCATTTAAACAGCATCTGTAGCGTTCCCCTTTGCGAACACTTCAAAATCTTCAACGTTCCTTCTTTTTTGTGTTTCAAAATGGCCAATTCGAGTTGTGATTCCTTTTGCCCACTCAATAGCATCGACATCACTAACAAATAGGTTATCTGTAGTGAAAGCAGTATGTAATCAAGACCGTCTCCTCCAAAAATTTTCGAATGACCCTTGCAATATATTATGATGTATGTTAATAATTTTACAATATAATCAATCATAACTTATGACATAATAATTTCTGAATTCTAATATAAATAATAAATTCTAATTTATAAGATAAGCAATTCTAATGTATACAATAACAATTTCTGACTCCTAACATAATAGTAATACTTTCTAATTTATAAGATAATCAATTCTAATCTATAACATAATAATTTCCATTAATATAATTTTTTTCGTAAATATAATTAACTAATTAAAAAAAAATATTTGTGGCCAGCCGAGAAAACCGGCCAGACTGATGCTAGCCGACCGGCGATTGCGGCCTGGCTCGAAGGTCCTGCCGGCCGGCAATTTAGGCCATGTGTGGCCTGGCCAGCCGCAGAAAGCGGCCAACACTGGCCCTAACTAAATTGTCGACCGGTTGATCTGAGCCCAGCCACAATCGCCGGTCGGCGGCCGGAAAACTCACCTCGTCGGAAGACATTTTTTCTCCGATAATCTTCCGGTAGAGAGAATTTACAATTTTCTACGGTTTTTGAAAAAATGATAGAGGCAAAATGGTCCGAAGAGGACGGTACGCAGCAATAGGGGGCGGAGCAACACCCATTTCTATTACCCATTTCTATTACCCATTTCTATTACGTAAACATTTCATGGGTAGGAATGGGTTTGGTATTTGATTTTCTTGAAAATAACTTGAGGAACTACAGACGAACTACACGTGTCCTGTTTGTATATGTCATAAAGAATTTGACTATACCAATTTATGGGTTTATTGAAGATAAAACTCTGAGAAGCCTAAAAATTGCATAAGGTTANAAAAAAAAAAAAAAAAAAAACGTTGAATATAGTGCATAAGGTGCCAAAATTGCATAACAAACCTTAGTTTGAATTGATTCTAGGCAACATGACAAAAAATATTAATTTCCAGCATTGATGCTTATCACATTTAGGATGAGGAGATGGAATGTTGTTCCATTGCTCATCTCTCTCATCCTCCCATACAAATTTCTATATAAACTGACACCATAATACACACAAGCACAATTAGCAGAAAGAAAGAACAACCCAAATACACACATTTATACTAGAAATGGCTGCACTCCTCCGACTTACAGTTGCCACACTCATCGTTTGGCTTCTCCTCATCAATCTCAGTAAGGATAAATTTAGTTATACTTGTAATCCATTTTTTTTTTTCTCTTCTTTTTCAACTCGTTTATTTATTTTGTGGTTTGTGCAGATGTAGCTGTAGTACAAGGCGGAACGTGTGGAAGGCGGAGCAAGACATGGACCGGGATTTGTGCCATCTCGGGACACTGTGACAATCAGTGCAGGAAGTGGGAGCACGCGACACATGGCGCTTGCCATTACGACTTCCCTGGATTTGCCTGCTTTTGCTATTTCAACTGCTAATACACCACAGTTTGTACTGTTATGGCTTATAAAGAATAAAAGAATGTCATGATTCTGTTTGTGGTGCTAAAGAGAATAAAAATGTTTCCTGCCTAAGTTTTCATGCTTAAGAAGAAAATTTAAGTCTTCATCTAAAGTACACCGAGCAATTAGTCTACTTTTAGTCACCTGGTGAGACGTATATTGAAGAAAACCATGAAAATAAAAATGAAAATGATTGGATTAAATGAACTACAAAGATCGACTTTCCTAAAACGACTTCTGGTACTGTTTTTTTGCTTTTCATCTTTCCTCCGAGTCAAACCTATTCCATGCCGCCTGTTTGCACATTAAGATAAATAACATAAGAATGGCACGATGCGACTATTTTAAATGATCATCAATAAATATCAATGTGGACAATCTGAGGTTAAGAAATAATTATTATATATACCTTGAGAAGGTCAAAGACCTTTTCACATATGTATTTTTGGTGAATGTTGGCTCCTCTTTGCTGCAATTTATCAGGATGTACACAGAGAGTGGCCTTTCTGTAAGCTTTTTTTACAGCAGCAGTTGTTATGATCTCAGTCAAGGATACTGACTGCCATCCGCTGTCCGGCCCTAGAATCTGCAAGTGAAAGATCGGTTAAAACCAAGCATTAGTTTTGACATAATTTCTATATATATTTTTCTTTCTTATGAAAACATTAATAAGAATAGGATAAGAAATGCACAAAGCTTCAGATATTCGATTTGACATATAATACCTGTAAATATTTTTGTTTTGGAGTGAAGTTACTATACTAGGTTTTACTGATCCATAGCTTCGCTCATGAACAGTAAAACCATCTTAAGATTTTATGAAAGTCTACCGTTTTAGAAGGAATAAACACATACATATTGCAGAGTCGAGAGTAGTGCACGCAAGTTGCCTTCCTTTCCAGTCACCCATCTTTTAATATCAGCATCCAGAGATTCGGCTAGTCTCTGCAATTACACAAACATAATAAACAAAAAACAAATCATAACAAAAAATGTACAAACAATTTTCATTGCTAAAAACACATCTAAAGAATTTAGCTTCAGAAAGTTTACATTTCTCTCAGCCTGCTCTTTCTGGGCAAGAAAATCGCGCATATTTTTCTCTGCAAGGGCCTTAGCCTGAAAACAGAATTGAATATGATATGAACTAAAAAAAAAAACTAAAAGATTAAAATATCTGACTCCAGTTCTAACTCGCAAGCATTAATCCAGAAATCAAACGAAAAAAATGAATACCGCTCTCTCCATTGTCCTCTGATGCCTCTCTAACCTTGCCTTACGCCTCTCTGCTGATTCACTACTATTTCCATCAACTCTCTCCAAATCCTTTAACGAATATTTATATATAAATACACAAAGGTTCTATCATTTTACTAGCATAAAAATGAACAAACTGAAACATGGAAAAAGTTACACACTCACAGAGGACGAAAAACTATGCTTCAGCCCATTACTTCTAGAAGAACTAGTTTTCTGAGACCTGGCTTTCACCAAAGCCCGTTCACGGGCCTCTGTTGTGGCCCGTTCCACTGCAGCCCGTTCAGCCCGGATCTTGGCCTTCTCTCTTTCTGCATGTTCTCGGGCCTCAGCAAATGCTCTTTCTCGGGCTTCTCTAATTGCTCTCTCCACAGCTATTCTGTCCTTTTCCCGCTCTCTGCCCCTCTTGATGGCCTCGATTCTTTGCTGTCGATCGTCCGCCTGGAATGTTCCCTCATTTGCTTTTGGATCTTTCTTCTCTTTAGAAATCCTTTCGTTTTTTTCCGAGTTTTGATCAGCATCATTTTGTTCCTCGACGTTTTCAAGTTCTTCCTTGCTTGAGGTGACGCCGTTTGTGTTTTCTTTACTTTCTTCCTTTCCTTTCATTTGACCAGTATTTTCTGTCTTGCTACCCAATGAAGAACCATTGGGTTGATATTCTTCAGCTTCGTTATTCGAGTCAACATCAGATTGCTCTCGGGAGTCGCTAGAGATAGTCATAGTATCATTACTATGAGTTTCATTGAAGCCAGAATTATCAACAGCCTCGTCATTAACCTGAAACTTGAACGTATCACGAATTTCGTCATCCGTGTTATCAGTTTCTTCACTATCCAAAGAAATTTTACTATTCTGAGCCTCGGAATTTTGTTTCTCTTCGATTCGTATATCCTGCCTGTATTCTTCGCATATTTTTTGTCCATCATGACCAAAACTTGGTTTCTTCTCATCAGTTTCTACCTCATGAACTTCATCTACTTGTTTCCCAATTTCCCGAGAAATTTCAGGCTCCATCTTTCCTAGTTCTTCCTCGGCACTTTTTCTGTGTGGGCTATCCGCCTTCAACTCAAGGCCATTTTCATAATCACCATTGAACTCTTTTAAATGTTCCTCCACTGAACTTCCCAATTTATTCAACAAATCACCATTGACCTCTTTTAAATGTTCGCCAGAAGCCACTTCATCATGCTCCAAAAATTCCTTCTCACACTTACCAGCATTTTCTGCATTCACCTCAACTTTTTGCCCTTCAATTTCCGAATCAACCCTTTTGTTCAATCCACCTTTAATCGCTCCACCATTTTCCCTCAACCCTTCGGCCCCATTTTCGACCCTAATTGTCTTCCTTTCCTTTGTCAAACAATTCTTGGACCTACTTTCCAAAGAACCATCCATAAAACGTTCTTTTTTCCTCTCCATAACCATTTTTGCTATTCTTATGCTTTCCTCAGCCTGCTCAACCGCCTTCTTCAAGGCCGCAGCCGATAAAGCCGCCACAGAATTCTCATCTAATTCCTCGTCAAATAAAGGAGGCAAATGCACACCACCATTCCTGATTTCATTTGAATCACATGACTTATTCAGTGAAGATGAATAATGCCTTACTCCTTCTGTTTTCGCCTTGTGAGGATTTTCGTCAATAAAGTAGGTGAATCCGGGGACTGTGTGAAGTTGGGCTATGTGATTTTCTCCATTTGACGGGTCTCCGTTAATACTCGGGCTCGTCTTATTGAAAGACATGCTGAAATGCTGCTTGGTTTCCCCTGAGGGCATTTTCGTCTTTCTTGAAATTGATTCTCGATCAGGCGACTGCGCATGTGCCGGAATCCTGCAACAGTTGCATGGATTCAAGACACAAAGAAATGTCTCCATAATAAAAAAATATAGTAGAAATGGGAAAATAATAGTAATAAAACTTGAATGCCGAATGAGAATAATAAAAACCAACGGAAAAATAGCAAGACAAAGCTAGGGAAGCATATCGAAAATCATCTGAACGTATTTATGGACGTTGGATGCTGAATTATTGTTCAATGAAATTTAACAGCAANAGACGTGGAGAACAATTAGCTGCACATTGGAATCCACGGAACCAGCTGTGCTTAGCATTTTGTGATAGTAAAAATTAGCCCTTTTCACAAAGGAAAATGAAATATATGAAAATACATATAATTGCAAGAAATCCATCCATCTGCTACAGATTATTGTGAAACAACTCAAACACAAGATACAATCCAATAGTCCTCTTGCACCAAAGGCATATAGAAAATCAACATAAAAACTCTAGAAGTGGATCCCAAAGGCTATAGTTGAACAATCTTGAAGCTAGCATATAACATATCTTTCAGAAAAATCTAAATGTGCTATTGGCACTAATGGAATTACCTAGTTACTCATTTGAAAGACTGCAGAAAAAGTTGGTCAATAATTAAGTGGAGCCTAAAACACTGTATTTTTCCTATTTTAATATCTTTTTTCTGTTCGCTAACAAGATGCATATAAAGCAAACTTTCCCCCAATTTAAAACACAAAGCTATCCTCCAATTTAAAACACAACCTTGGCTTCAGAGGCGCCTTGTGTTAAGACAAGTGTAAAAACAATGTTCAAAACTGCTCATTTGACAATCTAAGATAATCAGATAAAGGAACAAACACAAGCAAAACTAAAAATCAGCTATCTTTCGGGCTATAAAATTTCAAACGGATTAAGTTTGTCTGGATGAGGAAAAAAACACAAATTTCGACAAACACTTACAGTGGGTAGCATATGAATAATTCTCATTACATTCCCAGCTAACACAAACAGTCTAACAGGCCAATGCTTGCGGATAAAGAACAACTTTTTCGAGAAATATCCTAAACCATACATACTATATTGCCTAAAACCATTACAACCAACAGATCAAAATTATTTCCCTGTAGCATATAGACGATTAAAAGGTACAAAACTTAGGTTTGCCAATGAGTAACAAATTCATAACTCCTAAGCCCACAAAACCACATAAACTAAAACCAAAACATCAGCAGACGTCACTAAGCCACAAGACTAAAGCGTAACAAGCAGGAAAAGAAGGTACTTTTTTTTAACCACCTGAACAATCCAATTTTTCCATTAAAGTTCATGAATTCGAATTTCTGTTTTAGCAGTTGAACACATACACACACACACACAAACAAAAAAAAAAATGGAACTTCTGTCAACTCACCGAGTTTTGGTTTTGTTCTGAGCGCCACTAAGCAGCTCGTCATAAGGCAAAGCCGCCTCACCGCACCTCAACCCACCAAAAATGGTGGAATAATCGAGCTTGGAGCTCCGGGAGCCTTCCGACCCCACCCACTTGTCCAGGCCCGAAAGATCTAGCACCGGAATGGAGGACAACGAGCCTGGGAAAATCTCCGCGTACTCGTGGGAACCGAACTTCGCCTTCCCGCCGCCGGAAAACAAGCCGTCGTCGTACGGGCTGCTCAGAGAGAAGGAGGAGGACGTGGAGGATGCGGTTGAGTGTTTTCTTCTGTGCGGCGGGGGACGGGACAGCGACTCCATGGGGTACAGGAAGAGAAAGAAGAAGGCTTCTCACCTCTGAGGCTATCACTTTTTCATTTTTATTATATTCTGGGGAGGTTTTTTAATGGGATTTTCTTGTTCGCCGGCAAGGGGTTTTTGTCTCCAGAAAAGAGGCTTTGCAAGTCGGACAACGGGAAGAAGGAAGAGAGAGTAAGGATGGCAGCGGTTCGGGTTCGGAGGTTCGGATCGGATGGAACCTCAGGGCACCCAAAACCAAAACCCAAACTTAAAAACCAAAACCAAAACCAAAATTGTTTCGGGTGAAAATCCTTCACCAAAACCAAAACACGCGGATACCCAAAAACCAAACGGATACCCAAAAAACCAAAAATATTATAATAAAACACCAAAGACAACAACATAAAACATGATAACTTAGGAAGAGTACCAGGCAACCAGTCACAAATTAGCAAGTACCAACGTACAGTACAAGCCATAAAGGTAGTAGAGTACATAGCTAAGCCAAGCCATGTGCCCAGCCCATGTCCAGACTCCAGAAACATAGAAATAGAAGTTCAAGGCCTTCAGGCACACACACATACACATATACTCACGCACGGGAGTCGGGAGAGGAGAAGAGTTCGGTCGGCATTTTTTTTAGTCGGGATGTTGGTGGCGGCGCGGCTGTTGGTCACGCAGGCACGGGAGAGGATAAGAGGCAGAAGAAATTTCCACTTATATAGCTAGGGTTTTTGGTGGGCTTTTTGATGGGCCGTCTATTTTGGGCACCCAACGGAGCACCACGGGCGAAATATAGGATCCGCACCAAAACCGAAGACTTTCGGGTACCCGAAACTGCAAAACCGTGGGTGAAATTTGGAACCAAAACCGAAAACCGCAGAACCAAAAACCGCGGATATCCGAACCGAAACCGAACCGCTGCCATCCTTAAGAGAGAGAGAGAGAGATCAAGGATGAGAGAGAAACAGCATTACTAATTTTATTTTATTTTATTTTATGCCTTTTCACAGTGTTTTGAGACCTGGATCGGCCCGGCGGGTCGACCCTAGACCCGATCGACCCGGAGCCGGAATCGGTTCGGGTGGAGTATTTGGACCGGGCAACCAAGGACCCGGTCAAACCCGGTCAAAACCCGGCCGATCCGGCAAAGACTCGGCCGACCCGGGGCATTGACCCGGCCAGGTCAACTCGGTTGACCCGGTCCATATATATTTTTTATATTTATTTTTATTTTATTTTGTTTTTTAAAAATAAAAATATATATATATGTTTATATGGTAAATATTTATCATGAGATACATATTATTAACACTTTAATATATAAGTTTTATACACAAAACATTTAATTTTGTTACTTTTATGTATATTTATATAACAAAAATACTTTATATATAATTTTAAAAATTTTAAAATTAATTATCCGGTTCAGCAATTGACCCGGTGACCCGACGGTTGAAACGGTGACCCGAGGACCTGCCCGGGTCGATCACCGGGCCGAGTTTAAAAACTATGCCTTTTCAGATAAAAACTGCCCTGTTATGTTTTGAGGCAATAAAGAGTGGCGTCTGCTGTCGTAACTCGTAATACGCTGCGATAGGTCTATGCACCAGAGCCAATTGTATCGGNGAGATGTCGTTTATTTTAAGTTGTATTTTGTAGAGGTGGCACTTTTTTACCGAAAATCGAAACTAAACCGAATCGACATGAAAAAATCGAACCGAACCGATTTTTTCGGTTATCAAAAATTGGTAAACGAAATCATTTCGGTTCGGTTTCGGAATTGCAAAATATATATTTTGATTTTACTTAATCGAACCGAAATTTTTTATTTTTTTTAAAGAACGATAGGTAATACTCATAACTCAAAAACAAACAGAAGTTCATGATACAAACCGAAGAGCTAACTAGCTCTTAATCAACCAACCTAAGGAGCACCACAACAATCTGTGGCCTAGAATACAAATCGAGCTAAGCTAACTGCATACACAAGCCATGAAGACAGACAAATACATCCATTTGAAACCTCTACCTTCTATAACAACCAAAAAATATATAAACAACAAGAGCAAGTTTAAACAGCAGTACCAAACTAAGTAAGAGTAGAGCCAACTGACCACAGGACCTAACCCTTACTCTAACCCAACTTCAGCACCTACTCAGTCAAGCATTGCAGCAAAGGAATTCAGCCCAGTCAGCCACAGCCAACCTCACCACCTCTACCTCACTTCTCAATTCTTTTTGAAAGAGCCACAAGTTCCTTGTCTTCCATATCCACCATAACATGTAAGTGGATAGTTGAATTCTGATCTCAACTACCTCATGCTTTTTCATTGATGCATTCCACCACGACTAGTCTCTGAAACTTTGGGTATCAGTCAGTGAATCCCCATAATCAAGTGGAGCAAGCTTCCAATTCCGCTTTGCCCTTGGACACTGAGAAAAAAATATGCTCCACTGGCTCAGGAGCTTCACCACAGCAGTGACATATGTGATCAACATCAAGGCCTCTCCTCAGTAGATTAACACATGTAGGCAGAAAGTTAGAGAAACATTTCCAGATAAGATGTTTAATTTTGCCTTTGATCTTCAATTTCCAATATCTTTCCCTGGCTTTTTTATCCTTTCTAGCAGAGTTGCTGCCTCTGCTCTGTCCACCTTGAGAAGTTTTTGTATCATCAATTTTTCTTAGGCTTTTGCAATAGAGAATTGTTCTTTGTCCTTTCCATTCCAGCACCATCGATCCTTTTTCTCAGGATGCAGGGTCTTTATCTTCAGGATTGCTACTACTTCAGAATCTCCAAATAACACCTCCAACAGCTCCTTATTCCAGCTTTTACCATCTTCACTCAACAAATCAGTAACCCAAGTTACAGTTTCCCTACCTTTAGTCCTCCCATTTCGAATTCCTATAGTAATATCAGGTACCCCAAGGGTCTCTCCATAATCTAACACTCTTTCCATCTGCAACCTCCAATCAAAAATGGTCTTGCAAAGCAGTTTTAACCTTCATCAAACTTTTCCACATCCAGAAGGAACTCTGCGAAGTTTGAGCTTCAACGATGTTACCCTTAGGAAAATATCTCTCCTTTAGTACGTTGCTCACCAATAAGTTAGGGTTTGTGGCTATTCTCCAGATCTGGTTGATGATCAATGCCTTATTAAAAAGCTGGACATCTTAAAATCCCAGACCACCCCAATGCTTTGGAGTTGTCATCACCTTCCAATTTTTCCAGTGGACGCCAGGTTTCTGGGATTCCCCTGAACTCCACCAGAACTTAGCACACAGTTGATAAATTTCATGATAGAGTCCTTTGGGAATGCAAAAACAGGACATAATAAACATAGGCATAACATTCAACACTGACTTGATAAGAACCTCTTTACCTGCAGTTGAGAGCTATTTGTTCTTCTAGTTGTATAGTTTTGCCTTGACAGCCTCCATCATAAAGTTAAAAGACTCCTTGGGATGTTTATTTAAGTGACCTAGTCAAAGGTCATATTTATTTAAGTGACCCTTTTGTCTTTTGTGATAAATGAAGGGTCAAATATGCCCTTATGTTATATAACAAATGTTCTTTCGTTTTTCTTTATGATATAACGAAAGTAGGTTCGTTATATATCTCTTATTGGAACTTGTTATATTTTAAGTCCTAATTCTTTACTTATCTCTTGAACCTTTTGTTCAATTTTATATATATTGTTATTTGGTTTTATGATTGCTTCAGTACAATTATCTATTTTCGAAGAACTTGCTTCGTTTTCCTCATTATTCTGTTTAGGAATAACGTAGTCTATTTTAGATCTTACGAAAGACGAAGTTCTATGTACTTGAAAGGACCTTCTAGGTGCTTCTAGTTGTAATATTGATGAAAATAACAATTTTATCATGAGGTTTGAATGACAAACTATGATTACTGTTAGTTAGTGCATAGTTTATTCTCCATGTTACTGAAAATGGGTGATTTCCAGTTTTCATTATTTTTCTTTTCATGTTCCAACACAAAGTGATAGAATCATCTAAATTATTGTCCAATAAAGACATTCCAACTTGGTAATTTAAATTAAACTTAATTTTACCAAGTTTTAGATTTCCACTCCCTTCAGCTATTAGAGCATCAGAATAATTAATCATTCTATTGTCAATTAGTCTTATTGTAATAGGAGAATCTATCCTAGACTATAAGTTGATTTAAGAATCATTTGTATAGTAGAAACATGTAAGTAAGAGATTTTATTCCTAGTTTCTGTTTTTATATCTTTCAACGTAGAAAGAATTTGTTCTTTACAGATAACAGGAATAACTACATTTCTTTCTGTTTGATTTGTATCTATTGCTTCTTCTCCAGAAATAATTCCAAAGAATATTTCATTCTTTCTAGAAATTACGTTATTTAATTTCTTTATTAATCCTTCATTTCTGAAATTATGATTCTTTTTTAAATCATGATCTACTATTCCTAATTTATTTGCATCTATCAAGGCTTCAATTAAATAGCCTGATTTTTCGTGCTTTGTGCAATAATCTAAAAGATTGTTTTCTTTATCCATAGACTTTTAATCTAAAATTTCAGTATTTTCGCCTGTTACCAGGCTCTGATACCATTTTTGTTTTGGTGAAGCTCCAACTTTTAACTTCGGGTTTCATTTTGTTTTGCTGCAGCTCCAGCTTTTAACTTCGGATTTATGATCAATTTTGCGGAAATTCTTAGATATTAAATCTTAGTTTTTTCAATTTTTTCTTTATACTATTCAAATAATTAACTTGACCTTCTATTTCTGGAAAACAATCTCCATAGTAATTATCTCTTGTAGAATGCCTTTTATAATAATTTTTCTTGAGTGTAATTCCATATATAAGGTTTTCTAAATCTTTTAAAAGTTTAAAAGATCCTCTCTAGCTTTTTCAAGTAAATCCATTTCATTTTTTCTTATATTACCATAAGCATCTAAACTTATGGGACTAGTATTTAATCTTTCACTAATAATGTCAAACTCTTCTTTCATCATTAAAAGTTAAAGCATTCTTCAAATGAAAACATCATTTTGAAATTGTGAGTTATGAAGAATACTCTTGAGAAAGATGAGACTCTGCCATGATAAATCCATTTTTTACAAACCTCAAATTTTGGGGTTGTAATGGATTCTTGTTTTGAACGAGTCGAAGGCTATAAGCCATTCTTTCGATATCTGAAGCAATCAGATTTTTATCGCAAGTTCGAATCAAAGTTCGATACTTAGTTTTCAACTTTTGAATAGTTGATTCTAAAATATACTCCCACGAAATAGCAGGCATTATATATTTTTTATATACAGAATTTTTATAAGTTTGATATAATTTTAGCTAACTCTTTTTCTCTGGTTACTAGTGATGAATGAATATCATTGTAATAGTTATCTTTTGATCTTTGTCTATTATTTCTAATAGTTTGTCGTTGAACACCATTTTCTAGAATTTTTAATTTCTCTAAAATTTCGAGTTTAAGAAACTTTAAAAGATTATTTTCTAATCTTCTTAATTCTTCATATTTATCTAACCTTATGAATAATTGTATGCAATTTTCAATGTTATTAAAAACATTATTAAAAAGTTCTGAGTTCATACCTTTCTTCTGGGTTTTGAATTCTTTTAGTGTGCTTGAGATGATTGGTCCACCATAGCTTCCTGCTTTATCCTCAAATTCCAAACACTGTGCTCCGAGTCGTCTTACTGCCCTCCTTCCTGGGTC